CAAGAGGAGCTCCCGGGTGCTGCAGGAGGAGCAGGGGCAGGCTGGGCAGAGGGTCTGGAAGGTTCCCCGGCATGTGGGCCTTTGAGGAGGAGGAGAGAGAACTTAGGAGAGACTCTGCAAGGAGATCGTTCAAACTGGGGTACACTGACAGGAGACGAGGCTGGTGAAGGCGGGGAGGCTCGCTCCTGGGTCTCGAGTGTGAAGCGGAGGAAGGCAAACTTTGCCATGAAAGGAACAGGCCCCACGGGCAGTGGCATCCTCAGGTTCACATTTTCGAAGTGGGACCTGGGAGCAGAGCTAAGGGTGGACTGGGAGGGACACAGAGCGCGGAGCATTGCGGGGCCCAGGTGAGACACAGCGAAGGCCTGAGTTAAGGAGAGCCCAGAGGGCAAGAGGCGGGTGTGCACTGTTGGGCCCTGCGAGGTGAAGAACTTCAGGAATGATCAGGCAGACGGAGGGTGAAGAGCAGACGGGAAGACTCAAGAACGAATATCAGTTTCTGATATATAGGCAAGCAGCAGGACATCGGCCAGTGAGGTGAGAGTGAAGGGCCTGCAGGGAGGCTCAGTTTAAGTTTGCAGAAGTCACGTGGGAGCACCTGGGTGTGGTCCAGGGAAACTGGCTGGCTGGACTCTGGATTCCAAATGAGAGAGGTGCCAGAGTCTCGGTTGGAAGTTCTCAACCTCTAGCCACCAGCGATGTCCCATGTCAGCCCCCCTGTGACATGCTGCTGCTTCCTTATCAGGGGGTGCAGGAGGGGAGCCCATGAAGGAGAATAGGTATAGGAAGAGGAGGGTGGAGGCCAGGGATGGGGTATCACAGGAATCATGGCGGGGTGGGGGGGATAACATTCCAGAGGGAGGAAGACCCAGCAAACTCAACTCTTGCAAAAAAGGGTCAGTTAGGGTAAGAATGGACCCATGCCCATTGGGTTTGAGACAGGGCAATTATAGAAAAGTCATGAAAGAGGCAGACTGTAGAGAGAAAACGGACTCGTCACAGAACCACCGCCCGCTCACCAGCTTGATGGAACGGGAAAGAAAGAGCACATTAGCGCGGGCTGGCGGAGTTGCTGGGGTTTTGCTTTGTTCTGCTTGGTTGGAAGTTGGCAGGGACTTGGGCACGATCACATTCGACAGGGGAAAGAGTGGAGAGGAAACGGATGATGAATAGAAGAAAGTAGACAGGACTGAGCACAGCCAGCGCTCACGTGCACGTGACCACAGCCACACTTGGGCGCAGTGATCCTCTGTCCTGACCCGTCACCAACTGCTGACACTTCTCCGTCCTGACCCGTCACCAACTGCTGACACTTCTCCATCCTGACCCGTCACCAACCGCTGACATTTCCTCAGTGCTTGCTCGGTCCCTACACCCTCCTCCCTCCTGCCTGTGGGGTAAGTAGGCAAATTCCTCCCCAGCAGACACCCTGGCTGGCGCAGAGGGTCACAGAGGATGCTCACTTGCTACCAGGAGTCCAGCTAACCGCGCTCCTCGTGAGACCAGCTCTGTGGAGCTACCAAGGCCAGCTCCAGTCCTCACTCTCATGTGGTTGGCCAGCGTCTCCAGTGGCCATTTTAGGTTGGGTCCAGGGTGCAGCTGCCTAGGAAAGAGACAGAAGAGTTTCCCCCGTCGGGGGTGGGAGGCAGACAGTCCTTGCTTTTCTTCTCCATCTGACGTCTTTGCTTGCAAGCAACTTGAGGCAGGATGCAGCTTCTCTGTGGTTAGTTAATAAGTCAGGCGCTTCAGCTTTCTGGAAACTGGGACATTTGTAGTAGCGTTGCATTACTATTTCCCAGTTTTTACTTGGGTAAAGATCCACTTAGAAAGTGGATCCACAACAGATGTAAGTACCCCGAGCACAGGAAAGTTTCCGGAGAGACTACACTTCCCCATGAGTTTCTCAACAAGCACATTTCTCCCGCAAGCGCTCACAAACGCTTAAAGGGAGCAGGTGCAAACGAGGCAATGGGGTTGGGGCAGGCTGCTGTGGGGAGGCCCCTTTCTGGGCTCCCCTGTCCCTGTTTCTGTTGGCATGAGCCTCGCTCACGAGGCTGCACTTGACATGGTTCCTCACTGACGGAGGGGTCGAGGTCAGGAGGCGTTGACAATCCTCATCCTCTTCTTCCGAAGTCAACTTTTTTGAGGTTCTGTCCAGAAGGCGCGCTCAGGCCGTGTGTCTGGCTGTGGGGAGCATCAGACCCTACCTGATGCTTGTGCTGAAGTGTTCTCCTGCATCTCCGACTTGGCAGGCCCTGGGCTTTCAGCACTGGGCTCTTATTCGGATGGATTTGAAATGCCAAACCTTAATGGTTTAGAGTGTCGCTAATTCTGATTCAGAGAGGGGTGAGAGGCAGATGGTGGGATCCAGAGCAAACACTGTCCTCCCAGGGGAGCTGATTTAGAAGCAGCTCTCAGTCGGCCGAGTCAGCTCGAGCATGCCGTGCCATCCTGGGTGGCAGAAGGCTCTCAACAACAGCCTCCACCCATCAAGAGCGCGAACACCCACCCTGCACTCCCACCCTGCTGCCCACTGCACCCCACCCGGCAGTCCCTTCATGCCGAGGCTTTGTCTGGGTGGCAGAAAAGTGCTTTCCGTCTTCTGTGTGCTGGTAGCATCTCCCGCCCAACCCCGGTCTAGCAAGCGGGAGACACAGGAGCCAGCAACTCTCGCCTCCTAATTCTCTCTCATCTCTGGGGGAAGGAAACCAGAGTTTCCTCAGCAACCGTTTGACTCTTGGTTGAACGTCACCCAGTTCTGGGGACAGAGGGATCAAAGATTTCAGAGAGAGAATGTTGTCTTTCTCGGGAACATTCTAGCTGAAATCCGTCCCCTGCTGACCCAGGAGGATGCTGGGCACCCCACTTTCCTGGGCACTGCTCACCACCACGTGGCACTCGACCACGCCTCAGGCTGAGGAGACTGGTGCTCAGGGAGGGTCTCCCTTGCCCCGTGTCAGTAATGGCCAGGTGAAGGAGCAGGATTCGAACTCAGCGCTCTGAGCCGTAGGCGCTCAGCCGCCCCAGGCACGGGCTAGGGCTCTGTTCTCCTCAGCACTGCAGGCTGTCCTCCATCCCGGGCTCGGCTTCAACGCTACCTGTGGGGCCCAGGAGATAATTTCTGTCAAGCTACAGTGGAGTCTGGAGAGGGGTCAGGTGGGATGTGGAGAATGGTGAGGAGAGCTAAATCGAGCTTTGTCATGGCCCACTCTTCCCAAAACAGACACCAGACTCTGGCGACTGTAAATGAAGCCACAGAAAATCGAGGTTTCCAGTCCCCACAGCTCCTGGCCAGCCCCGTTCAGAGGTGCTGAGCTGATGTTCAGAGACTCTTTATGTCATGTGATCGCAGCACCCCCCACCCCAACCCTGCTCCTGGGTGCAGGATTTGCACCTGCAATGACTCCATCCTCCTTCACTGAGACCGGACGACAAGGTGCTGCACAAAATAAAATGCCTCATCAGATACAGGTCACGTCCCCCAGGAAAGCATGAGGAGGGGAAAAATGTGGAGACTCCTCCTTGGTTTCTAGCAAAGAGACGTACTCAAGATGCAGAAATCACCCATGATGTCAAAATGGAGTTCTTGCTGTACACGGTTAGCAGAAATGACCTCTAAAGCTGTTTCATCTCTAAGAGTCTATAATCCCATGAATCCTCCAGCTTAACCTTTGAAGAAGAAATTGCTTCTATCACTAAATTTTCCAATAACAGCACAGCTACCATTAGCATCAGGTTTGTCAGAGTAACCTGCCTCCCGTAGCCTGGCACAGAGCATCGTCGTCGAGGCTCATGGGCGTCTCTGTCAGCAGGTGTCCAGCCCCAGCCTGAGTCCGTCACCTGCTCCTTTGAGCAGGGCTTGGAGAACCCCTCCTGGCTCCAGTGCTGTTTGCAGTCTGCAGCCTTCGCTTCTGGGCTGTGTGGCCAGGGGCACATCCGGCTGCCAGTGCACACACCCCAGGGCTGTGTGCTGCCCATGACCGTGGCTGCAGGAGCAGAGCTACCATCAGCCTGCCTGGATGGAGAATCTCCCGCCTTTATGGAGAATCTTCCACCTGGAGAGAATCTACTGCCTGGATGAGAATCTCCCACCTGGATGAAGAATCTCCCACCTTTATGGAGAATCTTC